TTTTGTTATGCAGAATCATGTTCCTATAAAATATCCTAACTGCATAAAAATGTTGCTTTGTGAAGGCACTATTTCTAAGAATTCATGCCCGCTACTATTCCTTATAAATTCCATTTGTTTGACTGTTTCCGTACAGTCGAAAAGGATGGAGAACGGGAAAGAGGTGAAAGAACAGCTGCATAACGAACGCTGCAGTGCTGTACTGGTTCCAGGGAGAGAAGACATGCCGACATCTATGGATGGATGAGGCTGGCCGGCTCAAGAAAGTGACTACGTCTAAACAGACATAGTTGGCCAACGTCGCGCATCTCCTACGAGCATACAAAGAGGAGAGAACGTGCAACAACTTACAATAGTAAACCTGCTCAGAAATTCAAACTCAGACTTGTCATCCATTCATCCAAATGTTCAAATATTTGGCCATTTTTCAAAATAGCAACCCAAAAGTGTTCATTTGGCGAATTTTCCTCTCATAGTGTTTGTCAAAACGTATGCGATCATCTTCAGATTGTGTGGCCTATATGTTTGTTGCTAGAAATATGTGTAATCTTGATAAGGATTTGTCATCCAATACAGTATAATAATTCATGTGACCCATTTATAAGTCAGAGCAAACTTAACGTGATCATTGTCTGTCAATTATTTGTAGTATTTGTCGAACTATACGTGATTTTCATCATGAGTTGTGATCTTCTTATAGCTACAAATGATAACACATGCAATCTGTCGATGAAACGAAATAACGAATGAGTATAAGTATAAAAATTAGATGAACTTTATTGTGCTACCTTTGTTGTGGACTTTGTATTATTTTTATTGCTTTAAACTTTATGAGACCAAAAGATTTTATCTAACCACTGTCAACTGGAAATTGCAGACGCAATTGTGCACAGAAGGTCCATCCTGAATTCTTTTAGTACCTTGTTCAAAAATAAACTGGAACTGAAGAGGTTTGAAATGCCATATTTGAGAACTACCTTTCAGATCAAAAAGTCCTATATGCTGTAAAATATTTTTCATTGGCTCACTCCATTAGCGTTAATAATTGAGAAGAAACACAGAGTATTTTGACAAAGATTTTAAAGTTCTATATTATTCCATTTCTATCATGTCTCAACTAACAAACTTTTAGCAAAATAATCTACTGATTTGGAAATAGTATACCCTAGGAGGGATGATACCATTTCGATAAGAGTTCAAAATGTTCTTCAATCAGACTGTGACGACAATTTCACAGCCCAGTCTTGTACCAAAACTTGCACAGGATGGTCCATCACAGTATAAGTTCGAGAACTCCACTGACTCAACCATATAAGAGAATATGATGATCCCGAAATTAATCAAATTGGTCAAATATGACTTCAATGAAAAAATGAAGGAACCAATGAAAGAAAGCAAGGAATATGCAAATGATTAAGTAAAACACGAGTAGCATGCATCATTTTTCTACTCAAATAACAGTGAGTCCATATGATAATTTATCATTCAACTAGGAGACAAAAGGAACCGGAAGAGATGAGTGTCGACGAGATAACATTTATACCACGTTTGGCATCCATTCTCTATCCCGTTCACATTCTCATTTTTTTCTCTTACTTCATTTCAACCACACATTCTTCCAATAAAATAATATTACACAAAATTTAAAACTTTTCATAACTTTTCCACCATACATTCTCCCATCAATCACTATTCTAAAAATTTTTATCTTCAAAAAACGGGTGTCTAACACACCCTTAGTCTAAATTGTGCACTTCCCATTGAAAAACTTGCCTTTAATAATTTTTTCATAAATCTGCCGAAATAGTCCTTCCTAGACCTTGTTTGAAGTTGCAATATATACTGAACATTAGTAGATACCAACCATCAACTGCGACAACAATTGGTACATAATGATCTTAAAGAGCATTTAATATGATTTCAGAAGTGGGAGGTGGTGACTGGCACTTGTACAATTAAGAAAGTTAGCGCATTCAGGATTGCAAGAAAATGTAAATCTTGTGCTCCTAGACTTTTGTTGACAAACATTATACATATAGCACATAAAAACCATAGAATCTTTTGGCATTCGCTTTGATGAACAGAAAGTGGCAACAAAGCTAAAGAAAAGATGCTGGTAATGCAATCAATTTTACAAATTAAGCCCACACCATTCCAACTCCAGTTTCCCGAACAAGTTACGATATAAACAGAGATAAAAAGTACAACATGGTGTAACAAACCTATTAAAACAACAGGAAGATGCCAGACATAGAAAGTTCCTTAAAAATTTTCTCCACTTTTTGTCCTTTGAACAACAAATTACACACCAAACAGTGCCTAAATCAGAATAATAACATTATTTGATCTATGGAGGGAAAAAAAAACGAAACACAAAGTAACCAATTATTGGGCAACCACCCGTAAAGGCTTAACTAGCTGAAGTTAAAGCTCAAATGGGAAGAAACCAGACTGCATAATTAAAATTTCAAGAATCCAATTATAAAGCAGATAAACAAATAATACACAAGAACTATACTTGAATACCATATGCAACCCAACATTAAATTGAAACAAATATTACCTTCTTCAGCTACATCAAATCGGATTGAGTAAAATTGTTCTTCTCTTGTCTAGTGCTTTTTCGTTCTTTGAGACTGTTTCTCAGTAGCTAGTCTGTAAATCCAGTAAACCTATCCATACACACACACAATGGCTATAAAATCAGAAGGCTGAAACTGGCTGAAACTTACACGAATCTTTATATATTCATAACAGATTAAATTAGAAAAAATGGGTATATGATTTTGTGTCGGCGGTGGTGTGGGGTTTACCAGAGCGAAGACGTGGGCGCCAATGAGAACGAGTATCATTAGAGGTATGAATTCAAGAATCCATGGCCGACTCGAAGCTTGTTGGGGATTCGCCATTTTTACTAGTATTTAGTTCTCCGATCTCTCTCTATAAACCCCAGATGTTTTGGGAGGGGAAAGGCCGAAAGGGAGAAATAATTCACTTTTAAGTGACAAATGCATCAATAGTCTCCAACCTTTAAAATTTAACAATTCGGTCCTCAATTTTTATTGTAATTGAACATTTAGTGATATAACAGTTCGGGTCGGGCTGATTCCTTGATTTGGTTAAATGCCCACCATGCACCCATTAGATCGTTCGTCTCCTTTTGATCGTCCAATCTACTAGTACTCTCATCATCAACAAATGTGTATTGAAATTGGTAGCAAACATCGTCCCGATAATCATGGACGAAAATTATGGCAATACACAAATTTCAACGTCAACTCACAGCTATATGATTACTTATTGGCTAATGTTAGAGAGCCTCATGTTTAACCTCCAAATTTATCTTCGATCAATTGTTTTGTGCTTTGAGTATGATTGAATTTCAGTATTCGGGTTGAAGATTTAAATGAATACAAACTTGGTCCCTCTCTACGAACTTTAAGATTTCAGATGAAATAGTTAATGGTTAACCAAGTTTTGTGTAGCATTTCAGATTTTGTGTGAGCTCAAAGAGGAGACAATTACAATGAGGGTAGTCAAATACAGGTAATTCATCATGGTTTAGATCAAATACAAAATCCTAATATTGTTTCCCTATTGTTGTTGTCCTGTTTTGATTTCCTCTCAATAAATTGGCCATGACAGGTCAATTTCTAATTCTCTTGTCAAATGGATTTGCTAAATAAGTTTGTCTCGCGATTCTGCTCTTTATGTAAATCTCTGACATCCTCAATTCATCATTTATTCTCAATAACCATTAGCATTAAGGTTGTTAAGTTCTGATTTACTTGTAATTATAGCTTGATTAAGCACAACTTCTTGAAGTGTTCAGATACTAGAAGCAGAGAGGTGTAGTGAAGTCGTCCGGTTGCTTTGGTCCTAGTAAAAGGAGGTCATCTGGTAGAACTTAGAAGGTCTCTCTCTCTTGTATCGGCCCTAATCTTGATCTCAACATAAGAAGTTTCTTGATTGGCCTTAAAGAGTCGATCTCCTCAAGCTATACCACCGTGATACTAAAGTACAAAACAATTTGATCTTATAAAATTTTAGCATATTTTCCTGCATTTATAATTTGGGTTCATTTTACTGGTGGGAGTTGGAGGTATTATAGTTATTGATAATGTCCTTTGGCATGGAATAGTTGCTGATCGAGGCAGGCGACGAATAACAAGAAGGATTTTGGTTGCTTGGTTTTCGTTAGGATAGAATAATATGGTTTTCATATATGATAGTCGAGAATGCATGTTAGTACTCTTAAGAGTCTGCTAATGTACAAGTCAACCTTTTGTAGACGATGAGAAACATGACATCAAGGTGAATATTGAATCGTAAATTTGATAACTGTAACATATTCTTATAGATAATTCTACCATTTTTAAATTAATTAAATAAATCTTCGATCATTTGAAGGAAAGTCTACGAAGGTGAACTTTCAGATTATAGGCTTTCGAGACTCTTGGCTAGTACATAGACATTCTCATTTTAAAATTTATAGACAACCATGATACTAGTTTATAGTGTCTTGTAACGTTTTATTGATGATAGCAAAGTAAAATGTCGATGTTTTTCAAGAATATGATATTAGAGATTATTACATGGTAAAAAGAGATTTGATATTAAACGAGACTTGCAAAAAAAGGAAAATCCTTTTGTACTGATTTACAAAAATTAAAGATGACAAAATGCAGAGCTCTTTCACTAAAATACAGCCTACGAAATGCAAAATTAGCAATACATTTATTTTTATGCAATCAGATATTAATTTTTTAGATATAAAAATTCCTCTTTTAATTCCTCAAGAAATTGGTGTCACCTATAGCATCCAAAACGAGTGAAACGTGTCACTCTCCGAAGTCGCCGCGCCTTCTAATTCTTCGCTGCTCTCATAACATTTCCCCATTTACGCATTTTTACGAACACTTAACTCAAATACACAAATAAAGTAAGATCTCAAAAAATTCCGAGCCCCAATTTTCCGTTTTTCTTCACATCTCATTTCTATGAGGAGCCTCGTTTCATGTCTTAAACGACACTGTTCCATGGTTCACTCAACAAGTAAAATTTTCTTTTTCTCGATTGCAAGCTTATTACTGTAGTACCCATATTTTTATTAGTTTCTAAATTAGTTGCCATGAAAAGGGTAAATCATCACTCAACTGGCCCAGATTTTTAATTTTTTTATTGATTTTCTGGGCGTGAATGTTGTGATTTATAGAGTTACGATAATGCATTTGTTCTTATTTGGAAGCTGATTTTTGTTGTACACTTTTTTATCAATATTCTAAATTTACCAATTGTTTGATTAAAAGGGGTTTCATAGTTATTCATAACTCGACTACCGCAGATTTTTGTTGTGATTTTGATTTATGGGGTTTCATTAATGCGTGTCTTTAATTTTGTCTTCACAGCTATACAGAATGACAGTTCGGTTGAGATCATTATGTCGAGATTTGTTCTACTCAGAGGTCCGAAGGATCTCTTAATTAGAAGAGTGCAACACAATTATGTATTGGCGCAATTTTTAAACCGGAAATTGTAAGTTTATGGTTGGTCCAAGAGTGTACGCACTGTGTACACAGCGAGTGTAAATGAAAAATTAGACAAGCTCATTTTATATCATACCGTGTGAAGTCCATGCAAAATAGTTCTTGTGGAATGTTAATTGGTGATCATGTGGTGCAATAATATCATTAATGATAATGTTTTTATGCACATGGTACTGAAAATTCAGGATTAACTATATGGTTGCTCTGTCGATGCTCTAGAATTAATTGTTGAATAGTTTCATTGTTTTTGTGGGGGCACCTTTTCGTTTAGTTCTTTTATTATTACAAAACTGGGATACCTTTTATTGCTTATTTATGCTTTTGTATTGTATGATATGCAGTTTTTCGAGTGACTACTCCAGTGTGCATGGCGAAAGGCCATCAGCTGAATATGCGAAGTTGAGAAAAGAGTCATTGGAAAGTGAATTTGGACATGCGCTTGATAGATCAGAAAGTCCTTCCGTGTTATACCGTTTTGGTCCATTCTTGGCTTTGTATAGAGCTGCTATTATTTCATTCCATGTGTTTAAGCTAACAATTTGGCGCTTCTTTGTCCATGATATGAAAAAACGTTCTATCAAGGTTTGTTTGTACAATGCCATTGAAAAGAAATTTCATTCATGATCACATTTTGAGACGATTATAGCACTTGTAGTGAGTATTTGGCCCTAGTCCTATCCAAGAAGGAAGGTTGCATTACGTGGTTAAGCCCCGGTTTGGGCGACATTTTTATCTCATTAAAATGAAAAATATGACCGTTATCCATCACATCAACATTTAAATTCAAATTTTCTATCTCTTGTGTGGGCTCCAATAACGGCTATATTTTTCATTCTCATTCTACAAAAAGGTGGCTCAAACAGAGCCTAACATACTCATTTACATCTGAGATAGGCAGTTTTGCCAGTACAAGAAACAAATGATTTACATGCTTTCTAGCTGAAGCAACTTTTTATTCATGCTGGTTTTAAGATATATCTATGTTTTCCACTTGATTCTGACCATTGGTGCCCGAGTGAGAACCAATGTGGCCAAACGTTTGACATTGTACCAAGGAACATGAGCATATCAATGTATTCCCAAGTGAATAATAAGGGTATTTGTGGTGTGCCCCACTGGATGAATGGGGTGCATATACTGTGGAACTGATCTCTCCGAAATGTGCTTCTTCCTAAAGTTGTGCAACTTGTTCACACGTTGGTCAGTTGGGAGGTTCAAAATCCAAAGGCTGCCTGTAGAATATGTAGGTCTAGCTGTCTAGATTGCAAGGACAGTTAAACATTGAAATTGGAAAAAAAATCATTTCATGCATTTCAAATTTGGTATACAAATATGTTAGATAGATTATTCCAAGTGGCAAAGTTTTTTGTGTTTTTTCTTAGAGATGTGCATCCTAATAGTATATTATTATATTACTCAACTTCAAATTAATACATTGATTCGGGGAAAAGATAATCCTTCATTATATGTGCATAACTTTTTGCGCTTGTTGAATGAAATATATTACACACCACATGCAAAGACTTTGATTAGAAATTATGATGAGTCCTATATATTATGTATGCAAATAGTGAAATGCTTGTTAACTGTTTCTTAATTACTCTATGATTTTCAGACTCTTTGGGCTAACTAATCATGCAACTCTGTCTTATCATTTTGCAGTTTCGTGAAACTCTTATCAGCCTGGGGCCTTTTTATATCAAGGCAAGTTATACTTCACGTCCTGGATTTGTAGTTTGTAAGCCGTCGATATCATGTTTCTGCATTTATGGCTTTATTTACTGCAAATCTTACCTTACATCAGTTTTTTTATTCATCTCATGAACAAAAATGGGATTTCTTTCTTCTTTTCTGTGATCTATTTATAATAATATATCGGTGCTTCTAGCATGTTGTGAAGGTGGCCTTTCATGCATTATCTTATGACTATGTATAGACTCAAATCACTTGGGATAGAGAAAGCAAAATAGTTTTACTTCTCACTTTTTTTTGATTAATTGATCCCTAGATGTTTATTTGATACCGAGATAAGGGTTGCTTTTAACTCCACTTTTTTTGTTGTTTTTGTGAAGGTAATGGAAGAAAAATGTCAAGTAGAAAAACTATTACATTTTACATATAGGAAAGAGATCTCAAAATCATAATCTGACTACTAATATAAACCCAAATTACTATTCCACTAGGCAACTTCATTACTGATCCAATTGATCATGTCAATTTTGTATTGAAGTTCCAAATGAGAGAATTAAAAACTCTCCTACAGAATAGCCATCAAACTAAACTTGATTTTATGGGGGAATTATCACGGTTCATCAGCAATATATGTATGGTTTAAGCTGCTCCTTTTGTCACACCTCCAATTCTATCAAGCTCTTCCAAAGTTGCCCAAAGCTTTGGATCTTCATAATCTTTAGTTAGAAAAGCAGGCTTTTCTTCCATAAGTGTGCTGGATTTCCTGTTGTCAAGCGAATTACAGGCTTTGGGAAAATTTCCGTTTTTGTTCGACTGGAGAGAGATAAATTTATCGTAACCAGTGAGACTACCTGGAAAATGGGTTTAGTCAATATCATTACTTCAGACTTTTGCTTTTGTAGGTCTGGTGATTTTGTGCAAGGCAAAAACTCAAAGATTATTTTGAAAATAATGCTAAACTTTAAGAAACGTCTACATAGAAGTCATTTCAATTGAACATGGAAACAATCCTCTAGAGGTGAGTGGTAGTAGGGTTGAATCCAGTGTAGGGGAAGAAAGGTGGAACACAATGTCAATTATCATTGTTAAAAAAACTACTTTTGGCTTTTGCCTTGAGTCCCTCTTAAAGTGGGTTGTTTAGAATACAATTTTTGGGAACTTATTAATTGCTACTTTATTAATCTTTTTGGTGCTTGTATGCAAGTGAGACTCTAAATTTTGTTGATATGTTTTATTATGGATGTTTAAGATGGTTTATATTTTGTTTCTATAATCTCTTGAATTATTTTAATGGTATATCTTGAGGCTTATGTCGCTATGCCTCGCATTAGGAGTTAAAATACCTCGAAATCCAATTGAGCATTTTTCAATATTGCTTAATATGTGGTTTATGCGTTAATCATATGAGTAAATTGATACTACGTACTGCCCACGAGGAATACTTTCACCGTAAGGTTTTACATCTGATATAGCCATTCAAAAGTAGAGAATCCCTTGGACGTCTAGAGTAACTCTGGACTTTCCTGTTCATATTATATATATTTTTTAAAATTTATAAAGAGCTCAGACTTGAACAACAAAGCAGGAGTCTACCAACCAAGCATATTGCGTTCATCATCTTGCGATGTTCCCATAGAGCTGGAGTAAACCTGCTTTATAGGGCCAAATAAATATGTGAAAGAACTGTATGATATGATACCTGCTCTCTTCACCTGGCTGGCACTGTAAACTATTCAAGTGATTGCATCTGATTAGGCACATTTCTTTGAGTATAATTAAGGATTTCGTTCCCCACGGTATAATATCTGTGTCAAATCTAGCACTTAAGAATTCAATATCTAGGAGTAGTAGTGCTAATCGAAGCATCAAAGCAGAAAGTGGAAGTATTTTCTTCTTTAATAAAGAAAATAAATCGGAAATTCATAGTCAAAATATGGTAGCGTCATATCTTGGTGGCTCTATCTTTGTAGGATCATTACATCTAACTATACTAGGCAATTAACAAACTTCTGTTTTCTGATTGTAGCAGATGAATGTTTGCTTCATGACTTGTAATCATAATATGGTTTCATCATTTCTATGTTTGATTTCATATCTAGGTATAATGAAATTTGTACTTTCTTGCCTGTTCATTTTTGACGAGTAATATTCTCTTTAAGGTTGCAAACAATGGAAGAGATGAAGAGCAAGATACATGGATCTGTATATGAATGTTCAAGCATGCTAAGAACATATATATTTCTTTAGAATTATAGAAGTCTTGGTAAGGATCCCAGATTAACACAAAAAGGATGTTACAGCCATGAAGCATATGACATGTTATGTGAAGAAACGAGTGCTTCTATTGATATATTGGAATTATATTACAAAACCTACTTCAACCTATTTATATATTACACGAGGTGACTATGGAAAGGAAAAGAAATCTTCTAACTAAGGAAAGACAATTACAAGTCTCTAATTAACTAAAAATAATAATCTTAATTGATTCAGTTTCCTACACTCCCCCTCAAGTTGAACTGTAGATGTTGATCATTGGAGGTCATTGAAGGTTTGTCGAGGCAGTCCTTTTGTGAAAATATCCGCAGTTGTTCCTTTGTAGGAATATAAGTCATACAAATAATTCCATTGTCCACTTTTTCTTTAATAAAGTGTCTGTCAACTTCTACATGCTTGGTTCTGTCATGTTGTACTGGATTGAGAGAAATGCTGATGGCTGCTTTGTTATCGCAATAAAGCTTGATTGGATATTCTATGTCCATTTTCAGTTCCTCTAAAAGCTTCTTTATCCATAATCCTTCACATATCCCTTGTGCAACTGCTCTAAATTCAGCATCAGCGCTACTTCTTGCTACTACATTCTGTTTTTTACTTCTCCAAGTTACCAAATTTCCCCAGACAAAGGTACAGTAGCTAGTAGTGGATCTTCTATCTTCAAATGATCCAGCCCAGTCCGCGTCAGTGAATACTTCAACCTTTTTTTCTTTGTTTTTTTCGAAGAATAACCCTTTCCCTGACGATCCTTTTAGATATCTCAAGATTTTATAAACAGCTTCAAGGTGAGCCTCTTTAGGTGCATGCATATGTTGACTTACTTTGCTTACTGCAAAGGCAATGTCAGGTCTAGTATGTGAGAGATAGATTAGCTTACCAACTAATTTTTTACATCTGTCCATTTTCATAGGTTTTCCTACATCTTTTATTTTTGTTGTTTCAAGAGGAGCATCGCTTGGTTTGCATCCCAGCATGCCAATTTCAGTCAAAAGATCAATAACGTATTTTCGTTGTGAGACACTAATGCCTTTCTTTGATCTTGCAATCTCCATTCCCAAAAAGTACCGCATTTGTCCCGGATCATTTATCTTAAATTCGGTGGCCAAACACTTTTTTAATCTTTCCATCTCCTCTAGGTTATCCCCTATTAGAATTATGTTATCTACATAGACAATTAAAATTGTCTTCGCACCATCACTAGATTGTTGGAAGAACATAGTATGATCAGACTGCCCTTGCTGATATCCTTGAGTTTTCAAAACCTTTGCAAATCGATCAAACCATACTCTGGGTGACTGTTTGAGACCATATAGAGACTTCTTGAGTTTGCACACTTGATCTTCGTCATTACCTTTGTTAAAACCAGGTGGTATTGTCATGTAGACCTCTTCTTCCAATTTCCCATTCAAGAATGCATTTTTAATGTCTAGTTGTTGGAGGGGCCAGTCGAGATTCACTGCTAAGGAAATGAGAACTCGAACTGTATTTAGTTTTGCCACTAGTGCAATGTCTCTGTGTAATCAATGCCGTATGTTTAAGAATACCCTTTGGCGACTAGACGAGATTTGTAGCGTTCTATTTCTCCATTGTTTAGGATTGTCTTCGCACCGCTACTAGATTCGTGGAAGAACATAGTATGATCAGACTGCCCTTGCTGATATCCTTGAGTTTTCAAAACCTTTGCAAATCGATCGAACCATGCTCTAGGTGATTGTTTGAGACCATATAGAGACTTCTTGAGTTTGCACACATGATCTTCATCATTACTTTTGTTAAACCCGGGTGGTATTATCATGTAGACCTCTTCTTCCAGTTCTCCATTCAAGAATGCATTTTTAATGTCTAGCTGGTGGAGGGGCCAGTCCAGATTCACTGCTAAGGAAAGGAGGACTCGAACAGTATTTAGTTTTGCCACTGGTGCAAATGTCTCTGTGTAATCAATG